CCTTCCAGCTTTCTGGCCAACCTCCTTTCGATATCCTGTTGATATATTTCCATGCCCAGTTCTCCAACTCCTTCCCCTCTCTTTTCTATACTTCGCCTGGTATCCCATTCTTTCTCATTGCCTTTCCGTCCTTTAAACTTTCTAATGACTCCCCTCAATTCTTCCAGACTTATCTCCTCTTCCTCTTCTTCTTCCTTTTTTATCCCTCTATCTCCTTTTCCCATCCTCACCCTCCCCTCTACCTCTCCCAACAAGTTCATAAAATGTTCTTTCCACTCTTCCTCCTCTATTTTTTCCTCAACTCCCCTCCTTTTTCTCCTCTCCTTGCTTATTATCTCCCATACTTTTGCCTCCTTTCTTGCTCCCTCTATTTTTCTCTCCCATCTCCTGTTCTCTTCTTCCTTTCTTTTACATAGCGCTTTAAACTCCTTCCTCTTTTCCTTGTATGTGCTGCCTTCTCCCCTTTTCTTCCTTCATTCCCTTAATTTTTTCCTTGCCTCTTTCTTCGCTTCTCTACACTCCTTATCCCACCATCCCACCTTCTTTTTTTTTGTTCCCTCCATCTCCTCTACTCCTTTTATTGCCTCTGTTATTTTTGTTTCCATTTCTTCCTATTTCTTATTCAACTCTTCCCCTTTTACTTCCACTTCTTCTATTTTTTCTCTAAACCTCTTTACTCCTTCCTCGTTCCATACCCCCTGCCTCTTTTCTTCCGCCCTCTTCTTCTGCCCTCCTCCTCGTTCCCTCTTCTTAGAACAATTTCCACAGGGTGATGGTCCGAGTCCACTCTATTCCCTACTATCAAGCTCTCTATCTTCTCTCTTACTTCTCCTTCTTTTATTACATAGTCAATTACCGTATCTCCCCTTCCTCCCGTGAAGGTAAATTCCCCCTTCTCGTCTCCTCTCATATTTCCATTGAATATCTCCCATCCTCTCTCCTCTAAGCAATTTACCACTAACCTCCCCTCTTTGTCCATTTTCTTATCTTTCGCTCTTCTTTCCTTTCCCGCCCCTTCCACTTCCCTCCTCTTTCTCTACACTCCCACCTTCTCGCCCTGTCCTTGCATTAAAATCTCCTCCTATTATCGTAAATCTCCCTTCCTCCTTTTTTTCCATTATGTGTTCCAACTCCTGTAAGCTCTTTTTCATCTCTTTCTTTGCATATACTCCTACAATACTTCATCTCTCATCACCTATCCTAACTTTTCCCTCTATCCATCTTTCCCTATTAATTTTAATCTCCGTCCCCTTCTTTTTTAACCCTTTTCTTATTCCCATTATCATCCCTCTTATTGTCTCCCTTTTTTATTCTTCCTCTTCGCCGTTTGCACTCCCCACTCGTACCCCCTTGGCAAACTTCCCCTTATTTTCTCCCACCCTTTTTCACCTATCCAGGTCTCTACCATGACTATTGAGTACGTAATATCGAACATGTGGACGTGATTTCAGGCATCGTACGCGTTTACACTTTCTCTCGAATTCATTTCACATATATTCTTAGTCCTCGCGTATTCCCAGTTTTCAACGTTAAAACATTTTGCCCCACTTTGACCGCGCGTCCTAATCATCTGCGTCCGATTCCTTTACCTGCGCACGTTCCATCGGCTACCTCGTTGTCTTTAACATTTTTTTCCACTGCAGAAAATCAAACATTTCGGCAACTAATTACGACGACGAGGAGGAAAGTCGAGGTTACTTTTCGTTGAACAAAGCGCGGTTTCTGTGTTTTTTTTTTTTAATTTTTTTTTTTTTTTAATTTTTTTTAAATATCAGAAGATCCAACTTTTCACAGATTCTCGCACCTTTTCGCGGCTTGTCGCGGGAGGTGCGTTCCGCTCCCGTTCGGGGTAGCCCTTCGGAAGGATGGGAGCTCCGTTTTTTTTTTTTCGTCAAGCTCGCGCGGGATCCCTTCGGCGTGCCTCGCGCGTGCACCGTATTGTGGAGGAGCGGTTCCGGATCTCTCACCGCGGCCGCGGATGTGCAATACGACCGATCGGTCTGAACGTATTTCTCGCACTGACGTCGAGACGGGGAGTCCGGTTGAGCAACAGAGACGCGTGGACGCGCGGGCGCGCGCGCGATTCCGCTCCAACACACGCTTTCGGAGGCACACGTGCACGCAAGAAAGGTGGTATCCACCGTCGCCCTGCCGCGCCGCATTCACCTGACGTGTGATAAACGAATCACCGGCTACTGGCTGCGATTTATGTGTGCACGTGAACACAGTGAACGCGAAAATGTAAACGTACCGCACATTAATGACTAGAGATTCGCTCCAGAGATGTTTACAGGATCTGCGATTGAAAAATACCTATCGTGGAGGGATGAACGGCCTTGCCGAAGAAGATCGAGTTCCACGGATTGAGAAAGAATCCCAAATGGCCATCTTGGAAAGTGTGCTGGACTTTGATTTCGCAGGAGATAGTTATATTCTCAAGCTACGCGAACTCGGATTTTATACATTTTTTAAAGATCCTTTAAATCCCGCGTTCCTGCTTTCTCCTTCGTGTGTAAAGTAGGAGGTTCTCGTCGCTGGAATCCTGGTGCGTGAATCGGCAAGAAGGATTTTCCATAGAGCGAATAATATAAATAATGACCGAATAGAGCCGCCATCGATAAATTTACCTTTATCCGCAAGTATCAACGGTATTATTGCGAAATCTTAAATGTCATGTAAGACGTTTCTAAATTATCTACACGCATTGCTTGAAATGTCGTTAGAATATCGTCTATATATCATTTCTACATAATCCAACTGAAGCAGACGCAAATTTGTTATTCCGCTATTGTCCAGACGTTGGAAATATATCCAAGGATGCATGTTAACCCAGATAAGTGCATCTCGATCTGCAATTAAATGATTATATAAGCACATTTTTTTTTTATTCGCGTTAATAATCAGTATCAGTAATTACTGCACGCATTTCATTTATATGTATGATTTATTCATAATTTCTAGGTAAATTGTATGTTTAATTATACGCGCAGTTTATATCTACTGACGCGCAATAGCGCCAACGAGAGCTGTGATCTTGATCCGTTCGTATCAGACGTTTTTTGCAGCGATATTTATATATTTATATAAAAGACGCTTTTGGCGTAGTTACATTTAAAATAAGGCATTATTTTACTCATTTACAAAGTGACTTTTGTTTAAACGCTACTGTTTGAATGCAATTTAGATGCAAATTTGATGCAAATTATAAGACCTTCATCTTGTTCAAAGTTGCAGAAAATCACATATTCAATCGGAGTATTGTTACATCGCTTGGTGACTCAAAGAGACACAATTTTTTAAATCACTCAAAATTGTTATTTTAAACAGGAATGAAGAATTTATTATGGAAATAGCGAGCCATCACTCGAAAGATTGCTGAAAACGACAAACACTCGGGCGAGTCGAAAAGTTAGATACGTATCTTTGAAAAATAAAATATCATGCTAGTATGTGGTCTGAATCGTGTATAATAGGTCGATGCAAGTAATATAGTGAAAAAACTCGTCGTCCACACACACACACACACACGGTGACACGAATATATACGCGCAAGAGTAGTTCTTTTATCCGTACGCGTTAGCTAAAGTTTCATTTGCTAGTGTACGTAAAACCTGCTTCTCCATCGCACGCGCGTGTACGTGAACGGTTCACATCAGCCACTTTCGTTTGAATCAATGATATCGCATACAAATATATATATACTCACCCGTCCGTTCTAAGCCGCAGAGGTGTGTGTGTCACAAACGAAAGTATACCAGATACAGCCTGCAGGTCCGTGCTCCGTGAGATCTTCCGCGTGCGTGGCCATTTTATGCTTAATAGTTATCATTTATATGGATCTTCTAAATAAAACAAAAAGAAAACTTTTTTTTGAAAAATTCCAACAAAATTTCGACATTAGTCGCTCTTTTTTTCGCGACAGTCGCTTTGCCTGACTAAGTGCCGTTAAACTTGACACACTTCTCGCTCACAGTATAGCCCAAAAAATGTACAATGAGTGCTCACGTTTGCTTAAGAGCAGTGCTTATTAATCGCGACGATGACTAAAATGAGTGGCCGCGAATATAATCATCCTTAATCGCGAAAATTATTTAGAAAAAAACTGGAATCGCGGGCGGCTAGAATGTTCGCAAGATCATCTCATGCCTTCAGTAAATCCTCTAGTCGTTAACTTAATTATTACACATTTATTCACAGATGAGCCATGCGATCTCACTATATATATTTAGTTCACGCAACGCGAACACACCTGTGAGTGCCTGCAACTTCAGCGAGGTATAGAAATTACGTAAGGATATAATGCAAATTTTATGTTTGGTGTATAAAGTAATATTCTACTGCGATAATTTAATTGTAGCAATTATTATAATCTACATCAGATAAATCTACAGAAATACTTACACAGCACGTGTAACCTTGGCATATGTTATAAAAGGTTAATTATATTATTGATTAAAACGTTCTTTTAACTAAGCGGCATTCTTATATATAGTTCCAAAAATATTTCAAACCAGCTACATTCTAGAATACCACCCTCCAAAACGTACTTCCCCCCTCTTCTTATCTACCTCCCATATTGCCACTCTTTAATTCCATTTCTCTCTCCTCTTCTCCTCTTATTCCCCCGTCTCCATTCTCCGTTCTCCTCCTCCTACCTTGCCTCCCTCTTCTTCCTTCTCTTCTCCACTCTCGTTTCTTATCCTTCCTCTTTCATTCTTTAGCACCTCCTCTTTCATATCCCAATTCCACCATACATTTTCCAACCTTATTTTGCTTGCTTTAATCCACGCCTTCCTTCCCTTTCTCTCTTTTCTTCTCGCTATCTCTCTCAGTTTCCAGTTCAACCTTTTTTCCTCCACGTCAGATTCTCCATGATTCTCTCTTGTTTATCCACCAGGCTCCTTTTATTTCCATCACCTCCCATTTTTGTTCTTCGTTCTCTAATTTTACCAACACCATTTCTTTTCTTTTTTCCACATCTCCCCTTATTCTCCTCACCTCTATTGCCTTCTTTGGCTCCTATTCCCTCCAATAACTTTGCTTCTTGTCTCCTTCCTCCTTCCTTTACTTCTAAACCCCTTATTACTATGTTTCTTCTTCTCTCCTCTTTTTCCTTCCTTTTCAGCCTTTTTTCCAACTCTCTCATTCTTTCCCTCACCTTCTCGTTTCCGTTTTTTATTTTTCCCTTTTCCTCCTCCTTTCTCTCTTATTTTTCCTTCCAATCTTTTTAACCTTTCCCCTACTTTTTCCTTCTGCTTTTTCATCTCTTCCCTCTCTTCTCTCCATCTCTTTTCCTGCGCCCTAAACTCTTTTCTCAATTCCTCTATTTCTTCTATCAACTTACTTCCCTGCTCCTTGAAGCCCTTCCTAAATTCCTCCCTCATGGCCCTGAAGTCCTCTTTCATCGCACCAATTATCTTCCTCAAATCACTCACACCTTTCTCCGCTTCTGTTTTTGGAGATCTTGCCGTTAACTTGCTCCTCATAAAAATATCCTCGTCCTCCACGCTTTTATCTAACTTCTCTTTCTTCCTTTTCCAAAGCTCTTTTATCGTTACCATGCTCCCCGTGCTCCCCGTGCTCCCCGTGCTGCCCCTTCTAACTCTATCCTTCTCCTTCACTCTATCTATCACCTTCTTTATATCCATCTCGCTTTCCTTCTTCTCGTTCATCTCCTTCTACTCTGCGCTTCGCTTCGCTCTCTACCTATTCTCTATTTTATGCCTTGCCTCGTCCGCCTGTCGCTTCCCTATTCCCCGTCGAGTCGCCCCTTTACTCACCCTAGCGTTCGCGCCCCACCACGGCCTGCCGCCTTGTCTCTGTTCGCCGCCCGCGTTGCCCCTCTACACTATCTATTGTTTGCGCTTAACCCGTCTCTGCGCCTTGCCACTTTTTTACCCTTTGTTCCCCTTTACCCGCCACCCCCTCACTCGTGGAGGACGAGGATATTTTTAAGAGAAGCAAGTTAACGGCAAGATCTCCAAAAACCCTTTCTCCTCCTTGCTCACTCACCTCCACACTTTCTTGCACCGTCTCTCTTTCTCTCCTCTGCCTCCTTTAACCGTCTTTTCTCGTCACTTTCCTCGCACACGCTATCGCACCTGTCAACCACTGTCGTTCCGGAAAGTTCGTATCTCCAGTCTGGATGCTCTCTATTTATATGATTTGCCAGCTTGCAAGCATCTGCTTGATTAAGCAGTCTTTTCGTCTCTCCACATAATTTACACGTTGCCCTGCCTTCCGAACTAATATAGCAATTTCGGTACTTGTAGGGTACTGAGGTACGTATTTGGTTATAACCCGTACTGTGTTTGTCATATAGGTGTTTTTTTAGTTTTAACAACATTGGGGGTTCACTGTCATTACGAATAATTTCTATTCCACATTCTTTGACTTTACATTTGGTTACGTTGGTATTAACGTCATCGAAACACTCCCACACGTTTACCATGTCTACAAGAGTAGGCCGTCTAATTATTGTACTTTATAAAAAATAGGAATCTTTATTGAATCGACGCAAATGGCAAGTCAAGTTTGTTGGTATCGTTTTATAATATTATAAAAACTATGATTTACGCAATTACTACGAAACTTGATGTTCAGTCGCAGGTTATTGATATGAGGTAGTAAAACGTCATGTCTTCTGCATCTAAGTAAGAACGTGAGTTGTTGGAGTACTGTGCCAATAATGATGTTTGTTCTGATCCACATCTTTAACAGCCTAGTATTATTGTATCCAAACAACTTGGTGGTCTTCTTAAAAAATTCTTCTTGGAGATAGAACACCATTTTTCAGTCAAAGGTATATAATTCAACAATGATAAGAAATTTTCTTCACCAGTGAATATAAAATATCATATTAACAAACTTCCTTGACCATAACTGGCAAATTTATTAATAGATAATACGACGTTTTGGTCCAAATTCGGACCCTCTTCAGGTGAATAAAGCTCTTACAAATACATTCGACAGGTCAAAATATTAAAAATATCAAATATCTTAATTGCCCTTACACCTTGATAAGCTTTTTTCACCATGGTGTTAATTTCTCCTCTTTCTCTATCTCTTTCTCCTCTTCCGTAATAATAGTTGCTAAAGTTGTCGCTCATGTGAAATAGGAATTGGAAAAACGTCTTTGCTTTGCGGTGTTTGCCTCTTTCTCTTCGTGCTAAACAAAAAAGTGAGTCATATTAATATAAATAAATATAAATGTAACATAACATCAATTACATATGTGTAATTTACCTGACGAACATTATAACTACTGCACAGTTTCATATCACTTTGATCACTGCAGAAATTTATTATTAGTAATCGTGATAAGACGAAAATAATTACATAAATTGTCATTATTTTCAAATAAATGCTACTTTATAAAGCAATTATCTGTACCTTCAAATCCTGAATTATTCAAGTACCGTTAACTTCGAAACATCCAACGAATTATGATAAGGCAAAAATGGAACGAATGCTTACCATCTAGAACGCACTTATGTTATTCTATACTTTAGAGAAACCGTATCTTATATTGGACGTAACTTATATGAATTTAATTCAATAAGTCATTTTAATTTATATTATTTAGAATTTTTTCTTGAATACACCGTATTCCATCTGTTAACGTATTTTTTTTCTTTTGATCATTAAGCTATGAGATTTAAATTGATCGTATAAAATTAACAAGGTATGTCGGAATTAGGACAACCAACATCATCTATATTGGTTGTTGTAATTGCAATTGTATTTATTTAATTTTATGATAAATTGGTTTTATCTAATTAAAATTAATATTATATCTAAGATGTGTATAATTTTCGGAAAATGTTGATATATTGTTTAAATATATCATTTCATTAATATATCAGGAGACCTTTAAACACTTTTGCTGATGTTTACCCTACTAAGGTCGATTTGGCATTCGTTGGTGGGACTACTTACAAACCCCATCTTCCAAAAAATATAAACCCGTACCCATGGAATTTATACATACTATTTTCCTCAGTCCGGCCGGGACTCTGATCCGTACTTGACATCCTGAGTGTATGCCGTTTCCGTTTTCATTGTGTGGAGTAGAGTTTCCGGTACTCATTTCCGGAATACAATGTCGTCCAAAATGACTCCATCCGTATGTCCGGGTTTGAAACGCAGCCAATCTTGCTTCCCTCGAATGATTATGGGATTTTCGAAATGTGCAAGAGCAAATTGGGTTTTTCCAATTCTAGTCTGTGTGAATACGTAACGTATATATATATATATATATATATATATATATATATATATATATATATATATATATATTTTTTTTTTATTCGTAGCAATTAATATCGATGCAAAACACACTTACCGGTCCGACGAATATCACAGTTTTATTCGTAGGCAATTTAATCAACGGAACCGTAAAGTCCTCGGGTTCGTACGACGCTCTGTCGCATTGCGCAAAGTGATTGGTAAAGTATGCCGCCTGTACACGCCTTGTATGTTGCGTGAGCTAAAGATGGTGGAGAAGGAGAAACGATATCCGAATTAAGAAATAGAATCGTTGATTTAATGAGTTCGTAAGACGATTAATTATATCGTTTGGTCGAGACACATAAATGTAATCATCAGTATATAATTTCAATACAAAACATTTTAAAGAAAATATTCCCTTTGTTTAACAGAACCTTATTACCAATAATAAGTTAAGCCTGAGATCTATTTACGAAATGTTTTAAAATAAAATCAAGGAATAAAGTATGGAAGAATATTCAATGTATTAAATATTCTTAATAATTAAAATGAAATAAATGATCTCTCCTTCTTGTAGAACTCTTGCAAGGGAATATCTTCGAGGCAAACACATCAATTATAATGAATACAAAGAATATATAAAGAGAATAAACACAATTAATACATGTTAAGATAACGAATATGGAATAACGAAACCAAAGATTTCTGAATACATTAAATCTCAAAGTGAGAAGTATTATAAATGAAAGAATTATGCAGGAATTAATTAGATAATGTTATAAATTAACAGTCTATCAGTAATTGTCCTTTTGATGAACTTCGAAACTTCTTTCTTGCAATTGGTAAATATAATAATTCCATATACGTTACTAAAGGCAGTAAATAATTGAATCATAGATCCTTATAATTAATCGAAAGAAATACGGAAAGATTGCAATAGTAATTTTACATAACGTAATTGAGCAAAGAACTTATTCAGTTCGCACAGTTCAAAATTGTTGTAAGTCGTTAATCAATTTATAATATCTTTTAGAAAGGATCGAGTAGTCAAGGTATTATCTTAAACAGTAATCATATATCGAATTAACATAACGTTCGTTATATACAGTAAGTGCTAGAGAGTTTTATAAAGTAAACGAAATATGAGTCTTTAATATATATGAAACACAAGGAATATAACTTCAGGATAACTTTAATCCTTGTATGCGCATCAATAAGAAGTATTAATTGGAATTCCACTGAATTTACGTCCCGAGATAAGAATTTATCTCCTTTTCTTAATCAGAATGACACATGAGAGTCCTTCTTTGAGGACAATCATAATGAAATAACGTTACATCCTGTAACCGAATATTTGAATTAGCACGTGCGCACTTGTAAAGTATCACTTTCATCAGGGAGATATCTGACGAAAGAACCGAATATTTGAGATTATAAATCCAAATGTTACCTTATCGTGGAATCTGCAGCATCCACCAATTATTTATAGATAATCCGATATTTATTTATTCGGAAAATCATCCACTGAGAATGGGAAACTCATTCGCTGTAAGCGATCCAAATAATCAGGATAATGGCGGCTATTCCGTCTTGCTGCGTGAGAGAAACGAAGTTAATGATGGCCGCTCTTGATTTTCAATATCGCTCGAATGCCCACCGTCAAGTAAAGGCTCGGCTGAGCCCCGAATATATGTCGTTCTTCTCTCTTCCTTTAACGTGTTTGATAACGTTACTCGTGATTCGAATGATGACTGAGTTTTACGGACTCGTGTATAAATTCACGGCAACGAAATATATTACAACATGAGCTATTAATACAACACGAGCATTGAATACGACATTAGCGTTGAATACGACATTAGCGTTGAATATTACACTAGCAACGACAAGGGCAATAATATACCATGAATAATTAATACGGTACAAGCGATAAGTATTAAACGGAACTTGAACATGTTCCCGATAAAGAATTATCGTGGCAGAATGCCCGGTACGTGACTCGAACTGTTTTACTTTCGACCGAATAGTCGAGAATGGCCGGGATCGTCTCTCTGCACGTTCGTGCTTGCGCATCCCCTCCACTCGCCTTCTTGTCACGTGATGCTAGCGTGAGCGGAACTCGGTGCGTCGCGTTGCTCGCGCGTCCGCTTGCAATAGTTACTAGGCAGAAACGACCTGCTATCTAGTATTCATTCATGGAACCGCAAGAGTATATTATTGATACAATAGATAGTTGTAGCCATATCTAAAAGTTACCGACATCTCCGTATTTCTAACACCGCCAATTTCTTTTGGTTCATGATGTAATACGATATGTCCCGTTGCTCAATCATTTTCATTGCCTCCTCGTAGGAATTACATTCCCGACAAGTCATCAGCATCGCATTCGTTTCCTCGTGCTTCTTTACGTCGAAATTCGGAACATCTCCGTGATGATACAATTGGCCGTCTCTTTTGTTCTCGTCGCTGCAATACTTAATTATCGCTTTAGCGTCACTAGTTATTTGTATATTTGCCCCATCGGGCAACGATTTTTGCAAAGCCGATAAGTAACGCTGATTTTTATATCCGAAAACCAATTGGATATGTCGCATTCCACGCGCACCCGTCTCATCCTGTCTAATCAGCCACAACGCTTCTCGCTGGTACCGAGCCAATTTCTCACATCTCTCTTCCTCACTCGATCCGGTCAGATACACGTTGAAAACTCGCGAACGTGCCATATTTGTTAGCGAACGGAAAATACAAATACCTCGAGAGGAAGGGGGGTACTAGTACCCGCATAGAAATATCTTTGGGATCTAATTGGGATCTAGTCCGATTTCCCAAAATAATTATGGATTCCGGTTGGGAAACCTAAGAAGATTCAGATCAGAAGTGTAATGTTTTGTAAATTAGATTCTAAATGGGAAATTTGATCAGATTTTAAATGAAAAATCTGATCAGATCCTAAATAGGAAGTCTGATAGGTATTGTATGTATTATAGGTATTGTATTATATATCTATTTGTACCAAAATTGAACAAAATATATAAAACACTTTTAATGTGTGATACCGGAGGTAGGTATCACTTATAAGCAAAGAATATCATAATCAAGCATTTAACAGGCTCGCTTCTTATACTAGTGTATGACGATTTTTAATTACGAGAAATGCTAGTGCGTGGTAGCCGCGTTGCGGCAACGTGCGTTACTAGCGCTCGCGATCGCAGAACGCTCTCGCGTCTTCTAATTGGGATATTCCGATTAATGTTCTTTCGAATTCTTGCATGGTTTCTGTTTCGATTCTAAACAGAAAACCCAAATCGAATAAAAATAGATTTCCTAATTAGTACCGCAGTGCGATTTACCTAAATTCAATGTTTGGTATAAAAATGGAATTCCTTATTCGATTTCATTTAGACATACCAATTTTTACCGTGAAAGAAAGAAACGCGAATTCTTGCATGGTTTCTGTTTCGATTCTAAACAGAAAACCTAAATCTGGGATAAAAATAGATTTTCTAATTAGTATCGCAGTGCGATTTACCTATTTGGGTATTCTAATCGGAATTTAAGCTGTATTTGGTAAGACTTTGGGAAATTTCTATGCGGGTATGCAAAGGGCCGCTATTGGCCAGGTCGGGCATAGAGGATGTGTAATAATTGTAATGGGTTTGGGAACGTTTCCCGTAAAAAAACGTCTTTGTAAACCTCGAGAGGACACAAATGAACTATACTACTACTACTACTTATACTGTACTACTACTACTAATATATCAGGATGCACACGACGTGAAAAACGAATGTACGTATATAAATATTCAACGAATGAAACGTGTCGCACACTGAGACGAATGTATGTTTTACATAAAATACATTCTCATGTGTAAGCTATTTTTTTCGTTAATACAAGCGGGTCGATCGTCTTCGATTTTGTTGTCGTCGTTAGCAGGGACGGATCGTCGCCACAAAACGATTTGAGGTTTCCTCAATTTCTGTAACTATTTTTTTTCAATTTCTCATTTCACAAAGTTTGCAATTACATCAATAACAAAAATTGGAATGAAAAATAACAACAGCTTTTTCGACACATTTTTTGTAAGACAGGTTCAATGCTTTAATATTTAATTTTGTTCATATATGTTAACGATTACGTTAATTTGAAGCAACGGGCGCTTTGTAGAGGAACGCCGTCCATGAACACCCTCGAGCGTTCGCGCTGAGGATCGCGCGTCTTGCGAGCGCCGGAATTCGCGACACGCGGAATGCACGTGTCCTGGCCAAATCGTATCGATAACTGATTGGTCAGGATCGATCACCGGTTTTCGGGCGAACATTTCAACGGTTGCGGGAGCGCGATTCCCGCACCAGAGAGTCTCGAGCACTGTAACCGAACAGTCGCTCATTCGTTCAGCTAGGAAGAAAGAGTATGCGAAACGCAGTGAGCGCCGGCTCTTCGGCATCGAGCGATAGATCTCGCGTTCACAACTTTGAATACTACGCATCCTGAGCCTCTCGTGTACTTCAGAGAGTGCTGCAGTGATCTCAACTCTATGCATCATGTGCCTCTCGTGTACTCCAGAGAGTGTTGCAGCGATCTCAACTCTCAGGACTGTGCATCCTGTGCCTTTCGTGTATCCACAGAGTGCCGCAGTGATCTAAACTCTAAAGATAGTGCATTGCGTTTGTCAAAGGGAAAATGCCACAGGATCGTTCTCTAACACGCTGTGCCACCCTCTCTCCGCCTGATGCGACTTCGCGTTCGTGAACATGGCACCTCAGTGTATACACCCGCTCTCGCTGTGGCCAACTGTACTCTCTGAATAAATCTGAGATATCGAACACACATCTTTTTAATACAATCTGTGCTCTTTATTTCCGCATCCGTTCGCGCACCTTTAGGCGCACCACTCGGAGCGCGTCCCAGCATCTCTCGCAATGGCGGTTCGCATTGCCAAAATTTCTTTGGTTACACGGTTTCTGATTCTCACATATTTCGTCATCGCATTTACATGTACGTGGATCCCCTTTTTTTATTTTTTTTTTTGACGTAGAAGATAGATCAGGCTTGCATTATCAGAGAAATGAGATACCTGGGGAACGATATTTTTTAACATGACTCGTATGGAAGAGGAAATTTTTCTGCCTGAGGATAATATTTCTCAGCGATTTGACGATATGACCGATTTTATAAAAACGATGAGAGACAAGACAACACCCAACCAAATTGTCCCAACCAGTAAGATTTAAACCGAACGATAAAATGAAGACATTGTATGATAGTGTTGAATCTGAAGATACATCGAAATCTAGTGCAAATATCGTTG